AGGAGATACTGAGCACTCGCCACCTCAGTCTCATGCTTTTAAGGAGCTTGTTGAGGTTGTAACGAGAGCGGTCGAAAGATTAAGCATCGATTGGCCGGCAGATTAGCAGGAAGTTCGTTCTAGAAGCAAACTAGACGAACGCTTCCTGCCCTCTCGTTCACAACCTTAACGCCGGGGCCTTCCGTTTTTCCCTGATCTCCACACCGAGGTGTTGAGATCGTGGGAGAAACCAGTTTCCTATAGAGTTTATAGTCCACAAACATCTCACTATTCCTCTATTTCAAACTATAAAGAGCACGGTTATGGGGAGATGCCAAAGGTGGAAGAGACGCTCGCGAGCTATCTCTCCCCTGAATCAGCATCTTCCCTCAAGGCCCCGGTATTACCCACCAAACCAGTTAGAGTAACATCAGCTTTGGTGGGTAAGGCAGGCTGCAGCGTGCCTTCATACCATGTCACTGCTGCAGGCTTACCAGGCTGAACTGTTAGGAGATCTTGATGAGGGCGGGGGTATTGGTCCGGATGCGGTTTGCGAACTGCGTCAGGCCACAGATTTGTCTCCCTGGTGGCCACTGAGAGATATCTCTGGTTGAATTTGAGCAATATTAAGTAGAAGAGTAACAACTGACCACAGGGGTTCCTCAGGGTTCAGTTCTCGGACCGCTCCTCTTCTCCATTTACACCACATCACTGGGACCCATCATACAGGCACATGGTTTCTCTTACCATTGCTATGCTGATGACACCCAGCTCTACCTCTCATTTCAACCAGATGATCCCACAGTAGCTGTACGGATCTCAAGCTGTCTGGCGGACATCTCGGCATGGATGAAGGAACATCACCTGCAGCTCAACCTGGCAAAGACTGAGCTTCTCGTCCTCCCTGCCAATCAGTCTCTACAGCACGACCTCACTATCCAGCTAGATTCTTCCTCAATCACCCCATCAAGGTCGGTCAGAAATCTTGGAGTAATCTTTGATGATCAGCTGACCTTCACAGACCACATTACAAAGACAGCTCGATCATGCAGGTTTGCTATGCACAACATCAGGAAGATCAGGCCTTTCCTAACTGAGCATGCAACACAACTTCTCGTCCAGGCCCTGGTCATTTCTAGGCTTGATTACTGCAATGCTCTTCTGGCTGGACTTCCATCATGTGCAACTAAACCTCTACAAATGATCCAGAATGCTGCAGCTCGTCTTGTCTTCAACGAGCCCAAAAGGGCCCACGTCACTCCTCTGTTCATCTCTCTGCACTGGCTACCACTCGCTGCTCGCATCAAGTTCAAGGCTTTGACGCTTGCTTACAGATTGACCACAGGTTCAGCTCCCTCCTACTTCCACTCACTACTACAAGTCTACATCCCTACCAGAAGCCTACGATCGGTCAATGAGCGACGGCTCGTGGTACCATCACAGCGGGGCACAAAATCACTCTCCAGAACATTCTCATTCACGGTTCCATGCTGGTGGAATGATCTCCCCACCCTCATCCGGAATGCAGAATCCCTGACAGCATTCAAAAGACAACTGAAAACTCATCTCTTCCGGGAGCACTTAACATAACATAAAAAAAAAAATAAAAAAAAATCCTTTCCTCTAAATCCTCGCTTGCCTGGCTTATGCTACTCCGAGCTATGTCTGAACTTTGTATTTTGAGCACTTCTTGCGTTGTTTTTGCCTCTTCACGATGACTCGCTTGGTTTAGTCCTCAGTTGTAAGTCGCTTTGGATAAAAGAGTCTGCTAAATGACTAAATGTAACTTTTTAATGGATGCTCCTATTTCACCCTCTGGCCTCTTCGGCAATGCTGTAAACTCGGTTGTCGAGAAGTTTCAGGAATCAGCTAAGCAAGCGGCTGCATTCCAGAAACTCCTCCCCCGCCGTACTCATGTCTCCAGGGCTGCTGAGCGGGAGCAGCCCTAGACATCTAAAGCCAGCTGCTCACACCGTGCCACACAAAAACAGAGCGTGGCTTCCCGTGCTTCCCCACACAAAGACTGGGGACACAGAAAGTGCACTCAACCGCAGCCTTCAAGGGGTAAGACGGATCTGAGGACCGACATTATTTCCAAGAAGGCTGCGGGGAAAAGGTCCTGACGCCCGAGGGCGCAGGCTATTGAGGGCAGTCCCCCTTGAAGCAGAGCGGTTAACACCTCATTATACTGTGCCCGTCTCCCTTCGGTGCCCTCATAGGACCGTTATGCTAACCCTGCCACCTCGTGTGCTTCAGGGCGCAGCGGTCTCCGGCGAGCACATATCTCAGGGTCCACCCGGAAACGTAGTGGTCTTGGGATGCCCGCCTCCTCTGAGGAGGGTCCCAGAGCAGTCAGTTCAGTCGTTCCCTGCCGGTTCGCCGTTACAGGGCGACGGATTGATTGCTCAACAACAACTAAATCCAGAAACTCTCGAGAGGCTGGTACCTCTAGTAGAATTTTTGACAGCGTGGAAGCTACTGCCAAATATTTCTTGTTGGGTCCTGCAGACCATAGAAAAGGGTCATCAAATACAGTTCGGGTCTCGCCCGCCCAGGTTTATGGGGGTCCACTATCCACTATGGTGGGCCCCGAGCAGGTTCTGGTAATGGAACAAGAAGTGAAAACCCTGTTGGAGAAAGGGGCCATAGAACATGTACCTCCCTCCAGCAGGGATACCGGGTTTTACAGTCAGTATTTAATCGTTCCAAAGAAGGATGGGGGGGTTGCGTTCCATTTTGGTTCAAAGAGTTCTGAACGAGTCAGTCATGCAGCTAAAGTTCAAAATGTTAACACTGAGACAAATTGTGCCACAGATCAGATCCGAGGACTGGTTTGTCATGATAGATCTCAAGGACGCATACTTCTACATTTCCATCCTTCCATTTCACAGGAAGCTCCTGAGGTTTGCTTTCGGGGGCAAAGCATACCGATATTGAGTTCTTCCGTTTGGCCTAGCACTATCACCCCGCACTTTTACGAAATGCGTAGATGCAGCTCTGGCACCACTGCATCTGCAGGGTATTCGCATCATGAACTACATCGACGGTTGGTTGATTCTAGCTCAGTCGCATCAGTTGGCAGTTTGGCATTGAGATGTCGTCCTCGCCCACATGAAAGAGCTGGTCCGCACAGACAACACATCGGTGGTCGCCTATATAAATCACCAGGGGGACTTGCATTCGCGTCCGCTATACAAACTGGCGCAACAAATCCTCCTGCGGTCTCAGGGGAAGCTGCTGTCACTCAGAGCAGCTTACATCCCTGGGGCCCAGAATATTGAAGCAGACATCATGTAGAGACAGGGGCCGAGGCCCGGGTAATGGAGGCTCCACCCCGAGGTGGTGGAGCAGATATGGAGGGTGTTCGGACAGGCACAAGTGGATCTGTTTGCGCCTTGAGAGACGTCTCACTGTCCACACTGGTTCTCCCTCACGCATCCAGCTCCTCTCGGACTGGACGCGATGGTACAGACGTGGCCAAGGCTACGTTTGTATGCTTTTCCCCCGATCGCTCTGCTCCCGGGATTTCTGGAGAGAGTTTGCAGGGACCATGTACGCCTGCTCCTTATACCCCCGCGTTGGCCGGGCAGAGTTTGGTTCCCCGATCTACTGTCTCTCCTCGACAGGCCTCCACTGGAGCTTCCCATCAGGAGGGACCTTTTGTCCCAAGCAGAGGGCTCTCCGAACTGTGGAACCTGTGGGCTTGGCCTCTGAGGGGCCCCAGCTCATAGGGTCAGGCCTCTCAACCGAGGTTGTAGAGACCATTCTACAATCCAGAGCTCCCTCCACGAGGAAACTTTATGCCCTGGAGTGGAGAGTTTTCACTTCATGGTGTAGTGACCATCAGTTGGACCCAGTTAACTGGGTCCAACAAAAGGGCCCACGTCACTCCTCTGTTCATCTCCCTGCACTGGCTACCACTCGCTGCTCGCATCAAGTTCAAGGCTTTGACACTTGCTTACAGATTGACCACAGGCTCAGCTCCCTCCTACTTTCACTCGCTCCTACGAGTCTACATCCCTACCAGAAGCCTACGATCAGTCAATGAGCGACGGCTCGTGGTACCTTCACAAAGAGCCACAAAATCACTCTCCAGAACATTCTCATTCACGGTTCCATGCTGGTGGAATGATCTCCCCACCCTCGTCCGAAATGTAGAATCCCTGACAGCATTTAAAAGACAACTGAAAACTCATCTCTTCTGTGAGCACTTAACTTAAACTTAAAAAAAAAAAAAAAAAAAAAAAAAACCTTCAAATCCTCACTTGTCTGGTTTATGCTACTCTGAGCAATGTTTGAACTTTGTATTTTGAGCACTTCTTGGGTTGCTATTGTCTCTTCACGATGACTCGTTTGGTTAGTCCTCAGATGTAAGTCGCTTTGGATAAAAGCGTCTGCTAAATGACTAAATGTAAATGTAAATGTAACTGCCCGGTTGGTACAGTGCTGGAGTGGTCCTCACCGCATACATTCGTCAGATTTTATTCTTTGGACTCTACACCAGGGTCTCGGGTGCTTTCGTCCTAGTGCTGCTCTTATGATTTCACACAGGACAGACACTTCTCGCTATGGTGGCATTGGTATAGACGTTCCCTTAGAATAAATGTTTAAATAAAACTGGCCCCAAACTTTTCAATGGTAGTCTAAGTATTTAGAAGAGATAAACCTTTGTTTTCATGTACTTCACGGTTTTGTTACAGTAGAAAAAAAGGGCAAAAGGTAAATAATTGGCAGTAAATAAACAGGTGAAGTGAGATGAAAAGTCAACAAGCTAATGTCAGATCTAAAAAAAAAGGTTAACAGACTAAAAAGTAAGTTACTGACAGCCGATAAGAACTGAATAATTAAAAAGTCAGGGAAGCTGGTAAACAATGAGATGTGTAATTAGAAAACAGACAATGGACTTGTGAATACATAAACAATTTCAACAGTGAAATGTATCTTACACTGTGGAAAAAGAAAACAATAAAATGAGATACGTGATAAATAAGCACACAAGAGTGCTGGTAGAGAAGTGATACCTCTGTGGGCCAGCTTCTGAAGAACATTCCTCAAACGCTGCACTGCTGCTGGAGTCACGTCGTAAGTGTAGGGAACTGACCCCAAATAACTCTGACACCCACCAAACAGCCGATCTGAAAAATAAACACACACCTCTTACAACCACATCATGTACATCACCTATTATAATAAAGAAAATAAATAAATAATCTTTATTATATTTTTACTATTATACCTCAAGGTATCAACCATACAGTATGTATACAAACCACCCTGATAAAAGACATCATGTTGTGCAAATATCAAATAATCAGGTATGACAATCACAATAAATGATTTATTGAGCAAAATTAAATTAAATTTCTGCAAAGAAACCATAATAGTCTGATTTGTATAATGCAGTGTTGTTCCTCTAGATTGTGATAGTGACCATTATAACATAAAACCTGCCCACCCATGTTAGGCTTGAAGGGAAAGCACAACTGTTTGTGTCTACTGGCCAGCCGTTTATTTTTATAAGGTTGAAGTTTCTGCTTGGAGTCATAACCACTGGGGTTTAGGGCATTTTCTTTCTTTCTTTCTTGCTTTCTTTCTTTCTTTTTTGACACTTTCAAGATAAGCACACAGGCCATCAGGTAACGCACCTATATAGAGAGACACACACACATTATCTGGCCCCTTGTTTATCTCCCCATCACCAGGGACCCAGTGCCACTCAATAGTCTGTTGCTAGGCAACCCAAACCATGGCTCAGATTGGCTTCATAATTCAATGGCTATCTGGGCGAACAGGGAGGATGCAGGGTATAGCCGTGGTCCTCACGAGGAATACTAATGACCACAAGTGTTCCTTCACCATGTAAGAGCATTTTTTATATATTTAAGTGCGCCATGACGTGATGAGCTCTGTCAGACGGTCAATACAATCTGCCTTATTGTTTTATTGCAAATAATTCCGCCATTGTAAATTCCAGAATGGCTCACTTAGTATACTCTCTGGGATTCATGTAGGTCTTTAGCAAAAGGATATTTGTCTAATATGTGAACATGAGCATGTTAGAACACAGTAGGGAAGAGTGAGCGAGAATAAGAGCAACAAAAAAATAATTCAATGCGATGAGAGGAACCAAACAAGAGAATAAGAATTTAAATTGAGACAACAAATAAAGCTTTAGTCTTCAAAAGCAGCTTCAGTTTACGCAAGCAAAACATCCTACTCTGCCTCCTTTTGACTTGAAACCTGCCATGTCCAAACTTTTTACATACACACCAGACACATGACATAACCACCAGCGAACGGACCTTTTCACTGCCTCCGTGTCGGTTTCCATAGCAACCTCCCTCACTGTCGGGTGGCTTTTTTTTTCTAGCCGTCTCCGGGAATAATCACACTCTAATTACAGTCATTGCACTCAAATATAGACTCGGCTGCGCTTGCTTCTATCCCACGATTCCTCGAGCTCTACACTGTACAACTATAAAACAGACCCTTAGGGAAATAGAGTGAGTGGTTATATAAAATCTATCAGGCAGTTTGAATTATCAAACATGATACATTTGCTTCCCACTTGGTGGTAAATGATATGCTTCTAGAACTCTGCATTTTGTCACTCATTTGCAAAATGCTCTTTATACTGCTAAATAACAGCTCTGAGACCCCTGGCAGGTCCGTCGTCAACAAAATCCTAGACCGCTCTATGATCACTATTAGAGCTGAAGTGAAAATGAATAATATAGATTGACATTTCACAACATTTGACCTTATTCAGAGAAGGTTTGGATCACTCAATCTTCCTCTGTCATTTGATCAAATATCTGGCCACACAGAGACAAATGTCTGGCCACACTGACCTTATACACAATCAAATCAATTATATTCAAATCATCAGCATTTCTAAAACTGCTTAGTATGTTACTGAAAATGAATGTTAAATATTAAGAAATAAATGATAATGTAAAAAAAGTTAGTACTTCAGTTATTGGCGGACACAGTATCACACTTATATAATATTATATGATGAAAAAATATATTTCTCTCTCTCATAGTGTTAAACATGACAACACGTAATTCAACACAAAAACCTTAATGTGCTGTAATTCTTGTGATCTACCACAAGGAGGAGACTTAACAAGCAAAAAGGGAGACTGTTACACTCCTGTTGCAAGTTCACAGCACAGGAAATGAACGTGTATAACATATGGTGTATAACTATATGAGCTGTAAATACTGTCTACATCCATTATTCAAGATGATGGCTCAAAATTAATATATATAATATAATGATATATTCAGTTATAGGTGGCCTATTTTCTGTGAATGTGTGAGACTCATTAGCCACTATAGGTAAATAACTAAAAGTATAACATAGTGCCTTAAATGGTAAAAAATATTTGCGCTACAAACAAATGTGTTTATAATTATGACAATACGTTAAAATAATATGGTAAGAAATACCAGTTTGCAATATCAAGCAACATTGAGCTGTTTTTGTACAGCTAAAAATAAGGTGGATACATACATACATACACACACACACACATACATGCACACACATACATACACACATACATACATGGCACAACCCTGTGTTAATAATAAAGATACACACAGTTGTAATTGAAATTGCAAACAGCTTAAATCAGTCAATTTTGCCAATAAACCTGATTTGCAATGAACAAATCAAACAAAGGGAATTGAAATATCTCAACACAGCAAATGTTTCAAGTGGTTTCCCCAAATTCAACTGAAAATGCAAAGGGTGGCCATGGTGGAGACAACCCTTCGGGCGGCCATGACGGAGAGGACCCTTCGGGTGGCCAAGGTGGAGACGACCCTTTCGGGCGGCCATGGTGGAGAGGACCCTTCGGGCGGCCATGGCGGGCAGGACCCTTCGGGTGGCCATGGCGGGGACGTATGGCCCCCCCCAAAAAAATTCTTGGGGGGAATGACAGAGTCAGAAAAAGCCTCTGGGACAGGCTCTGGAACAGGGACAGGCTCTGGGACAGGGACAGGCTTGGGAACCATCACATAAACGGTCTCTGGCTCGATGTGCATGGCGCGATCAGTCTCTGGCAGAGCATGAGGCATTGAGAGGATCAAACTCCCAGGTGTAGTGGAACAGATCGCGGCTATCCAGGGCCAAGGCCGCGATCTGTCCAGCGAGCTCCCAGCTCATGATGTGATTCGGTTCATAATTGTTCTCCTGCAGTTTTATTGTCCTCTTTCCGTGGTTGAAAAACACTGATTGATCGATATTATGTATACCTTTCGGTAAGTTGTACTGTATCTTTAAATAACAAGTAACAGATGATTGGTTTACTTGAACTGAGGCGCAGCGATCTGTCACGTCACATTTACAAGCGCCAAAACGGTATTTATTGTCTGAATTTTTAATAAAATGGACAGAACCTGAGAGCTGATATTTTTTTCATATTCAACCTGCTCTGTCTTGTCTGTCGGTCTCCGTGTCCTCTTTGCTCCGCGATTTTTCTCTGCGTGAGAAAATGGATGTGTGGCGCGAGAGCGTGTGAAAGGTGTCAATTGCGTGTCTCACGTTGAATGCGTGAGAGTTGGCAGCCCTGCTTTTAGAAGGGGGATATATCGTTGGCAGCGTTCCTCCTTCCGCCATGCTTCTTCTCCATGAGAGGATTGTTTACATTAGACTAGAGTGCGCACTGCGCCACATGCACACAGTGCTTCTACTATGTGGGGATTGTTTACATAAGAGTGCGCACGTGTTTTGCGCAACATATACGCAGTGTTTTTTAAGCGGTTGATAATAAGCTAATGCGCGTTCTAAAAGTCTAAATTCGGATCTATAATTTTTCACGGTATTTTGAAGTCCCCACGATAACAATATCGTGCATATTCATTACCGCGATTTATCGCATTACCGAATACCGGCACATGTCTATTGTGGAGAGATGAAACAAAACTGGAACTTTTCTACCCTATGGGTCAGCGGTATGTCTGGAGGAAGAAGAATGAAGCATATGCTGAAAAGAATACTGTCTACAGTTAAGCATGGTGGGGCTCGGTGATGCTCTGGGGCTGCCTTGCATCCTCTGGCACTGAAACCTGCAGTGTGTGGAAGGTAAGATTCATTGACGTATCAGAAATCCTAGGAGAAAACGTCGTGCTGTCAGTGAGGAAGCTGAAGCTTGGGCGTCATTGGACCTTCCAACAGGACAATCCCAAGCATACCACAAACAGAAGTAGTCCTGGAAGGTTCTACAGTGGCCAAGAATATTATTGAACTGGAGGCCATTGCTCATGAGGAATGGGCTAAGATTATTTAGAAACGCTCCTAGAAGCTGGTGTCTGGTTATACATCTCGTTTGCAGCATGCCATAACTGCAAAAGGTGTTGTACTAAATACTAAAGATGCTTGCCATGAAGGGGTTGGATAATTTTGAGACCGCAGAAGTCATCAAAAAAGATGCATTTTCAGTTGAATTTGGGGAAACCACTTGAAACAATTGTTGTGTTGAGCTATTTTTTCAATTACTTTTGTTTGATTTGTTCATTGCAAACAGCTGAAAGTCTGTAAATTTTGCCAATAAACCTGATTTGCAATTATTCAATATTGAATAATTCCGATTATAACGGTATAATATAATAATAAACTACAATGATTTTACAAGGAGCTATTTTAATTGATTTTCAATTTATTTTTGTTGTTTAATGTATAAATATAACTCCACTAAAAGGAAGGACTAGACATCATTTAAAAATAAATTATTTCAATTGCATTCTAAAAATAGTTCAGTAAAACACATTTCTTAGACAAGAGGCCAGTTGTTGATATTGGCATGACTCTAACTGGTGGATCTGGGATCGATGTGCACAGCCAAATTAAATAGAGAACTATTTGGGGCAAATGACTCTATACAAAAATGACTGAACAGACTGAGCAAGAAAGCAGACGGCATTTTAAATAATTCGCTGAAACTACTGAACTGAAACAAACTATAGGAAAAATCCAAATGCATAGTAACTAGAAAACTTATATTCTACTATGTACTATGTTGGATCTGCTTTACTCTTTAATGGAGTAAAATATAAAACTATTGAAATGTCTCCTGTCCTCCTCTCAAGTTATGATTCTTAGCCCATCACATTAAACCCATATTCA